GTTTCAAATCAAGAAATACGATTAAACTTCAATTGGATGAACAAACACACACGTGCACAATCACTCACTCACTCACTTCTCCTTCCTCATATCTCCCTCCCTTCCCCCTCTTCCCTTTCTCCTAGTTACCTACACCCATCCAACCCCTCCCTCCCATCTCTGTCCAACCACTTGGGGCAATACAGTAGAGTGACTGTCTCACTTCATGAAGTCAATTTTCAATCCCTGACTATGTGGTTATGCACCATTACTTTCCCTGTCCCATCCCAAATCTTTATCTTGATCCCTTTCAAGTGCTAAATAGTTGTAATGGCTTGGCATTTTATCTTGAAAATTTCCTTCCACTACCTCTCTTAATCTACACTTTCTCACCTATCCACTCCCCCTCTCATCTTTCTCTCATAAAATTTCATATTATGAAGCACTAAAAAACCACTACAAATCTATAGAAAATACATCCCTGATTTCAGACTATAAAAATTGCGGGGGGCTGCTGTAGATGCAAATATTCCTTACAGAGTAGCTCTGGGGCAGACCCTAACTGGCCTATGACATTCACATACCCCCATGTGTCATCTTGGAAAGTTAGGTGAAGCTAGCCTCAAATGTCTGGCCGCCTACTTTGGACAGACATTCTATTTTATAGATATATATATTTAGTGTGTATTTACTAAATAATATGATTAAAACTTTTCAGAGATGTGAGGACTTTCAAGTAACCAAAATAAAGTAATGCAGTAAATTGGGATATGGACAGCTTATCTCAAAAGAGGAATGACGAATTTGAAGTATTTTAGTTGATAGAAGTTTTGTTATGACTAAGGATTTTTTATTTTGTCATTATTTTGAGTCCATATATGGTTTCCCAGTCAACTTCATTAATGCAAAGATGACCATCTATTCATACCAGAATATAGGACATTGTTACTCTTTTATGTTGTTACTCTTAAAAAAAATGTTTTTAAATTAATAATATGCTCACAGTGTATATATGTTAACAAATATTATTTCAGTTTATAAGTGTTGAGCTCTATAAGGTCAAGTGTATTGTATAGATGTGTCTTGTTACACATGACTTAACAAGGCCATGGATGCAAGCTAATTTTACATTTTTAAAACCTAAAGGTACAAATTTAGTGGTCCAGCTTGTGAATTTTTGTTACTCTTTATTTTCCCAAACTTCAGTTGTATACTGGACCCACATGATGTAATGTGTTATTTGTCATATCTTATGACGAACAATTTCCACATTGTAGTGTTGATTAACCTTTATGAAGGCTCGGATCTGAAGTAATAGATTTCAACAATTATTTTGTTGGTTTTTTAATTAAGTTCAACTCTCCAACAATCTGACCAAATTTTATATATTTTTCTCTAGTAATGTAAGGAATACAGTACTGTCCAAGAGTTGAGTGGTGTACCTGTGCAATCTTCAGAGAATTTGGTTTTTGCTGTTATCATAAATTTCACTAGATTTAGATTTATACACATTTTATATGAATAAAGACATAGTAACTTCAAATTGCATTTTCACTGGTCTTGGGTGCTGTTGCCGAGATGGATTACTTATTTAGCTCACATAACCGGAGGTCAGTTTAGTGTAGCTTCTGAAACCTTACTTTTGGTCTGATGGGGGAAAGGTGTGTGTGTGTGTACTCGCCTAGTTGTGCTTGCAGGGGTTGAGCTTTGGCTCTTTGGTATTTGTGTGTGTGTATAACTACCTAAGTGTAGTTACAGGATGAGAGCTATGCTTGTGGTGTCCCGTCTACCCAGCACTTTGTCATGTAATGCTTTGAAACTACTGATGATTTTGGCCTCTTACTTTTTCACTTGTTCTAACCATCTACCATTCTGCAAAAAACTTTAATATTTTTTTGACACCTTTGTTTCCTTAGCTTGAATCTATGACCTCTTGTTCTTGAGGTTGCTGGTTTCAGAAATTCCTCCTTGTCAATTTGGTCAATTCTCATTATTATTTTGTAAGTGGTGATAATTTTTTTTGTCTATGTTCTAGTTTTGGCATATTTAAAGCCTCTAGCCTCTCTTCATAATTCATGTTTTACAGTTCTGGAGACCATTTTGTAGCATGTCTTTTCACCTTTTCCAGTTTATTGATGTGCTTCTTGAGATATGGACACCATACAACTGGTCCCACAAAAATCATGAACAGTTTCTTTTGTATTTCCCCATCTATGTTGTCATAAGCGATTCTGAAGTTGGAAAGCGATACATACGCTCCTCGCACAATGTCCTTTATGAGCTCCTCTGGTGACATTATTCTATCTGGAACCATCCCTAGATTTTTTCTTTATTAAAGTTCTTTAATTCCTTTCCACATAATTTGTAGGTTGTGTGTGGTCAATTTTTTCCTATTCCACATTCCATAACATGGCATTTATTCACATTGAATAACATTTTCCACATGGCAAGTGCACTGTATTTGCATTTAGGTCACATTAGCACATATTTCATCTAGGTAAATTTGAAGGGCATGACAATAATCTACTTCTCCTATCTTCCCTGTGTGTGTGTTAGTGTACGAGAGAGTGTGTGTGTTTACTCACCTATTTGTACTCACTTATTTGTGCCTGCAGGATCAAGCATTGACTCTTGGATCCCGCCTTTTGAGCCATCGGTTGTTTACAGCAATGACTCCGGTTCCATTTCTCTATCATACCTAGTTTTAAAATTATGAATAGAATTTGCTTCCACAACCTGCTCCTTAAGTGCATTCCATTTTTCCACTACTTTCATGCTAAAGGAAAACTTCCTAACATCCCTGTGACTCATCTGAGTTTTCAGCTTCCACCCATGTCCCCTTGTTCTGTGTGTGCGATATAATCAACCAACTTACTGATTGATCTACCGACTGATCGACCAACTGACTGACCAACCATTAGTAACATGACCTCATGTATGGGCATAAATGGTAATACTGTAGAGTACTGCACCCTCAGTAGCAAGAGTTTGTAGTCTCAGCGTGGTTATCAGAGGCAGTACTTCGTCATCCAATGACTTGACAACCTTTGCAAAAACAAAATATAACCTGTAAAGACACTCATATGAGATTTCAAGAGTCATTAAGAGTAAAAGAGGTAAGTCAGTATGTAAAGTTTAGCACACCAGTTTACTACTTAATCAATATTATAAAAAGTTTAAGATACAGGAGTAAAATGACAAATTTATCTGTACTGTATTAAAGAAACCTGAAGAATTTGAAGCATTCTACTAAAAGATTCATATGAAGGTAGTGATGACTCAACATGCTAAATATATATGTGGTCAGTACTAGAACATTTATATAGGACAAGAATGCCAAGGTGACCACAAATGCAGTGGACAAAACTGAAGAGGAGAATTGCTACTGCCAAGGCATCATCCAGGGGTTTTCCCATCTTTTAAATCTGTCAAATCCTCTTACAGGCTGAGTTCATTGATCCCAATCTCACATTGGGATCAATGATCCCAATCTCACAAACTGGCAAAACTTAAAATGTTGAACTTAAGAACAATAATTATAAATACCTATCCAAGAAGTCTTTGTTAAGGAGATAGTCCAGATGAGTGTTAAGAGGGATATCAGTATGGTGTTGTACTGAATTGTCATTCAGTAGAATACACTTAATAGGATAGTTCTTTTCATAAGATTTTATTACTTTCTTTAAGGCTGAAGATAGTCAAATGGGAGGATCAGTGAAGCCCAACTGAGCTCAGCTTGTAGGATGGCTAGCAAGCCTAAGTGGACTTGTCAAGTGGGGAAAAAGGATGATTAGTATCCTTATAGGGCCATGGATAGCCATTCCGACTCCACTGTTTGACTGCATTCACTCTCCCTGTTGGCCCCTGGGGTCATCTTAAATTAAGTTCTTATGTCTATGTTGGGCTACATGGCAGACAGGAATGCAGGGAAGTAAAGCATTATATATATCCTATATTCATACACTCCTTTTTCTTAACATCAAAAACTTCTTAAGACCAGGACCATGGGTATGGTGTTTCTGGAAGATTTGCTATCTTTTCTTCAGTGAGGAAGTAGTCTGACTTTACACCACCCCCCTGATCACAGTACTGATACTCGTCATCTCCATGCCACGACTGTGGCGGTGACTATTATGTCACCTAATATGACAAGCTCTTTGTTGTATACAAATTCTTGGGTGATTGTTCCATATGCTCCCCTCAATACTCCTGAGGGCAGTGGCATCATACTTGCCCTCTTCTCTGCTTTTGTATCTCTTGTTTCCCTTAATCCTTAAACTGTTAAGCATAAGGGGGCATAATTCAAAAAAATATTCAAATTATGTAAAAATTACTTAACGACTGTGCTTCTCTCCTTCCAAATACGGCACCCCCATGTGCGCAGAAAATAAATTCTCTGGATTTTTTTTTTGAGTGTCAAAACCCTTCCCTGAGTATGGACATGTTAACAAAAACTTGAAATTGTACTTTGATCGCTATGGGGGCCCATAAGTTCGCACGTGACGTAAACAGTCAGCTCAGAATAGACCCTGGGAGGTGGTTAGCCCCTAACCACCCCCCCAAAATGAATGGGGGTGGTGAGGAGAATGAGCTCATGCTGGTTTAAAGAGATTCGATCATTTATTTACGTAGTTGCATGGAGTTCATTAGGTAAACTCTGAGGCTTCAGTCTCTTGTACACAGCAGTGGTTTGTTTTAATGGACTGACTTTCTGGATGCTTTTCCTGATGAGGTGGCAAAATGTCCCTGCTCCCTGTGCCTCTGTGAGAGTACTAGGTCCTGGCTGTGGTCCCTGGTAGTCCTAAAAAACTCTACAGCTGATACAGCCTGGTAGATGGGAACCATCTCAGTGTATAGCTTCAGTGAGCCACAAGGGGCTTCCCTGAGAAAATCCCTGCTCTACGAGTGTGAAATGTCAACCTACCTTGGCTGTGAACAAAGACCTGTCCATGAGAACTGTGGGACTTAGCAGTAGAAATTTATCATGTTGGCAAACTCAAAGAGGGTAAATAAAATATACATTTTGTATTTTATTATTTTAATAATCACAATGCATTATAAATTATTTCCATTTTTGTTTTAAATTAAAGTATGTGTTCTATAATTTGATAAGAAAACCACCTTCAAAAATGTACAATAAATAGAAAAAACCTGAAAACTTAAGCCTTAAAAGTTTGGAACTGAAATTGGGCACACTGATCTATTATTTTGAGGTTATCTGTATCATTGCCTACCCCATAACAACCTTCCTGTTGACTAACTGCATATGTATGTGATTGGATGTGAAAATCGTAAGTATTTGAGCTGGTTTGGACTTGCCTGCATTGTCTGTGCTGGATCTACTGTAAGGATAATTACTACTGGCCATAGACCATCACTTTGAATAACAGTTAAGTGCAAGCTTGATCCATTAAGACAGTGTGGGCCAAAGATACTTGTATCCTATAACCAAACGACTTGTTATTTCCTGAACATTTACCCCTATAAGATGAAATGAGAATATCTCATGGTATTACTCAGTAAGAATAAACACATTATCTAAAGTGGTGTCTAAACATTTACTCATATTTCATTCCAGACTCATTATTTACAAGTGCATGGTAGATTAGTTACTGGTTCCTGGACACCAGTGCATGACGCTATCTCATTATTTTCCCATTGTTGCTGAAGTGTTCACAAACGAGACAACAACAGAGAAAACAGCAAACCTCAGCATGTACATAAGTACATACAGGTATTTCTTCTGATAAATATGACAAAGGGAGAGAAACGTGCAGGAGAGAGGGAGAAAATGGGAACCTGCAACCCCCATTCTGATTGAACAACACAAAGGGGTGAGAGGAGGTTACTGTTAATGTAACGAAATGCCACTTTGTTAGGGTCCTGATGGTTCCCTAAAGTTACCTAACTGAGATAGTACAGGTAGGGGAGCAGAGTCACATTAGCCATTGGAGGCCTATTTAGCCAACTGGAGACCTGTGTCTTTGAGGGGTGCCTACTTGCACCCTCAAAGGCACATCAACCAAAGTTGCCATCATCTGTGGAGCCTCCACAGTGCCTTTAAAATAGTGAACCCAAATGTTGCATGCCACAGGACAGAAGATAAAACCCACCCAACAGGCAGTGGAAAGAAATATTAAAAGTGACCATTAGTTTGTAGCTAAAACTAAAAGCAACCCTCAAACTTGCAAGTACAGTAAGGGGGCTCAGGTTTGGTGGGTCGAATCATAACGAGCAACACCAAAGACTTACAGGAGAATTACTGTACCAGGGTCTGGAGATAAGGACCGAGTAGAACACCCAGGCATTGGAGAAACTTGCCAGAAAAATTTACATTAAACACAGCTATGAAGGGCATTAGTGGGATGCTGTACAGACAAGCTTGCTAACCTCAGTGTACCCCACAAAAAACAAAAAAACTGAATAATCCCTAGTCAAAGGCTCTTGCACTACCCAGGGTGAGGCACTCTACATAGCAGCCTGGCCTCTCAGGGAGATGCAGCTCCTGCTTGACAAAGCAAAGAATAGATCAACTCCACACAAGTGAGACTTGAAAACAGGTTCATAGAGCAAATACTAAAGATGGGAATGACATGCAAGCAAATGGTCCCCACAGGACACTGTCCAGAGGATGGCCTACACTTAGTTTGAAAAGAAGTGGAACATGTAACAGGTGGCAACTTATGTAGGCCTGATTTCAGAAATATCAGCGACAGGACTGAGGAAAAGGTAGCACAGAGACAGGGAGCTCCGGAAATGTTGGTGGCTAGTTGTAACTAAAGGGAGTTTGAGCTAGTTTTTGAGTGAACTGATTGTGTAATTGTTTGGCTGTACTACAGTCAACTACATAAAGTCGGCTTTGCTTACTTTCTGTATATTTTCTTGGTGAATATGATCATAACAATCCCATGCTCCCTGTGCCTTTGTGAGGGTGCTAGTTCTAGGGTGAGGATTCTGGCTCTAGTACCCAGTTGGCCATACAGGACTGCTGTGGCTGATGTGACTCATTAGGGAAGAGCTATCTCAGTGAGATAGCGTCAGTAAGCTCCTCCTGAAAGGCATCCACTAAAGAAAACAGGGAATGCCACGGAGGCCTGGTCGAAGACCTGGCTATGGGGACCTTGAACCCCAGACCCACCAGACCACTGCAATGTCTGCACCTCCAGCCCAACATGGCCCAGAGGAAATATAGAAGTTTCAGCCCCAACAAGGCTTGAGAAAGATAGGCCATACTAGCAAATTAGATGGGCCTCAATCAAGGCAATACCCATGTTTGGTCAGTTAGCTCTGGTCTGTGTTTGGCTGGTTGGCACAGATTGTTTTTAATCATCTGTGCAAGTCTGTGTTTGCTGGAGGTCACCACCAGTTCTTCCAAGTGCTGGCCTCTTCTTAGTTGTTGCTCATTTTTTGACCACTCTGAGCTTAGTCCTTTCTCTTAATTTGCCACATCATACAAAATAATGGGTACTAAAATGCACAAATCCAAGCCACCCCACCCCACCTAACCTAACCAACCTACACACAGAAAATGTGGATACTGGAAATTTGTGAGCCGTTACTTTTCACACTACCCCGTATTTTGTGTGTCGGGGACCATAGCATACAAAATGAGGCACGTTAGTTGAGAGGACGGGTTGCTGAGCTTCTGCAGCATTTGGGCATCTAGCCTAACAAGGAGTGCCTCTGCTTGTCCATCATCTTATCTTCCATGTAAACCCTGGCCATATTTTAGTGTTTTGTATTTTTTTTTTCAATTTAATGGCATTCTCTACTGAGGTTATGCAGTGAATGAGCATTGGTTAGGTACTGAGCCCCCCTCCCAAGAAATCCAGTATGGAATGTAACGAAATGCATCTTTCTGGAAGGCCTTCAGTAGCCCCCACCCACTTCACTTCTTTTCATGAAGTATGAGTGTTTTTGGGTTTGGGTAGCTTGTGAATGAGCTGGCAGGTGGGTTCCACATCACTTGGGCTGCCATCTGGTGGCATGCAAGTGTTACTAGGCAGTTATTTCCCACTGCAGTATTGAGTGGTTGCATTGTTATAGTCAGGGTTACAAATGTTTCCAAGCATTTGTTTGGTTTAGAGTTTTGTATCTTTTTGGTGGTGATTCCCATGGATTTGTGGTGTGATCTCTGATCCCCAGGCTTTCCAAAGCCTGTTTGAGAAGGAGGGGGGGGTTCCTAGATTCTGGTGCTGGTCCTTTAGGCATTATTGAGTTGTTAGAGGCCTGGTGTATCGACTAAGGCAAGGATAGTTTCAGGATGTAATACCAAGTAAATACTGAGGGGGGGTCCTCCCCAAAATAGGCTAATACTGTGACACTGGTACACATCTAACACATACCTCTACTCACCACAGTTTCCTACCATACATACCACCAGTTGCCTCATATACCATCATGTACAAGCACTACCTACATCACTAATTACCACCCTCAGTACAACAACCACTCACCAAATACCACCACCCAACTACCATTCACTACTGTAACAATCATCCAACTTCCATTCACTACCTTAACAATCACACCACCACTCAACTACTATTCACTACTATGTGTTTAACAATCACACCACTACTGCAATACTGAAAGTTTTGAAGTGCTCTGAGGTTTTTCTCAATATATCACATTAGTGTGATCTTCTGTGTGTAATTTAAAGTTTAGCAATACACAAGCTAATAAGCATAGACAAGCCCCTGAGAGATGCTGCTTTTATTACTCAAACTTGCATTCCTTTGTAATTAGTAACACAACTCATTTCGTCTTGGCTATACCACATGGTGTTTTAGGAATGTAAACCTCGTGCAGATCGAGGGATCAAAGGTACAGTATATTATAAAAAATAAACGTACCGTTTACATTATCTGCCGACAACTACCAAGTCTACAGATCCATTAATGGTGTGTATAACAGTAATGGTAAGACAATATTATCCACCTGGTCTGTGAGAGCTTCCACTACAGCAGTTAGTGAAGCCGAGACAAGAAGACGGCCCCAAGTTGCGAGACACATGTCTACCATATTCATCCCTACTAAGGCTAACACTACAACTAACTGAGCTACCACCCCACAAATGCTTCCTTCTACCGTTTTTTGTGTTCCTGACCACCGTTTTCGTCCAAAATAAGTTCCACCAACAGAGGCTGCAGTATCACCCACTCCAACAGCAAGTACACCAGCGAGGAGGGGAAGTACCGACCCTGGAGACATACTCGACTCTTCTTTCATTCTACCCAAGGCACATGGACTTAGCCAGAGTGGTGATGCTACACCAGCCAATAGGTAGATATGACTCAGAATGAGTGTACCTTGATCTTTTTCATCCAGAAATGCAGAAAAAGCTTGAGATACAACTGAAGCAATAGGCTCTATCTTCTTCACTCGAGTTAGCTGGAAAGTAAACAAAAACCCAGCATTGAATGTAATGCCCCTGGTTGTGCACGGGGGTTTGGGGGAAGGGGGGGTGGGGGAATTGGTGGGTCCACCCTGTACCTCCCCAAACAACCTATCTCGAGTCCTCCTAACCCAAGTACCATACCAGACTACTGAATCACAAATGCCTACTGCAAACCAGTACCAGAATCTGACCCCCTCAATAGTGGCATAAGGGAGCAGGGATACTAGATCAATCACATAACTGAAGAGAAAAACAACCAGAAAGGTAGAGCACACCAAAACAAGCAACATTTGCAACTCTGATTTTAACTACTGTATTGGTTTGTACACACTCATTAAACTGGACCAATGGTTAGCTAGCTCCACACCCTCACCACCAAATGACAGCCCAGGCAACCTAGGGATCCAGAGCAGCTACCCTAGTCAGTCATTCAGTGTCCAAGCAAGCAGTGGCCTGATGGTGCAGTGGTAACACACTCGCCCAGCGTCCCTGAAGTGATTTGGTTGGGGTAGAATCCTAGCCAGTGAAGATTGACTGGGTGACAGTCCTTAACTGTTTGCCTCTGTTCACCCCTAAGTAATTGGGTTGGTATTGGTAGTTGACCAATATACGAGTCGTATTCCAGGGAAAACTAGTGTGTATTGCTTCCCATGAGCTACAGGAAGGGAAAGCTTTCAGCCTACTAACAGGTGTCAGATGTCATTTGCTCCTGTACTCACCTGTGAAACAAAAAAAATCTTCCTGAACACCATGAGAAGGGAAGTGCAGGAATGGGGAGAAACAGAGGTTAACCACTAGACAGAGATGTTTCATCACATTCAACACTGGACGTCTGTGAGGGTTCCCCTTCGTATCTTCCAACAAAACCTCAAATATCTCAGAGCATTCAACTGCACCAAAGAAGGAGCACAATGGCCAGACAACCCAAGGAGTGGGGATTGGTGTCACCCCACAAAAACAAGGGCCTGGAGGAGGGGAGTGTCACTGGTAAGCAAAGCACCCAACTCCTCACAACCAGCTGAATGTGGGGCAAGGATCAGGAGTACTGTATCAAAGCCCAAGGAGGGCTACCCAAAACACACAGGAAATGCAAACAGCAATAAAGCTGCTACATTAAAAGGCACAGCCCTAAAATAAGGCAAAAACAAAGCTAGATAAGAAAATTCCCTCAACTCATGAGTGGCAGAGTCTGAGACAGATGAGGAACCAAAGACCAACAGAAATACCACAAAATAATAGTGACAGCAAGCTCAGGAAATGGGTAGGGGGCACATGGGACCTTGCTGTGGAGGATTTCCTGGCTCACATCCTAGAACAAACCATTAGAGAATCCAGTGAAGGACCCACAAGCCCATGCCAATCCCACAAACTGGAAAAATTCAGTAATGGAAGGTGCAAGCTGCTATGAGACCCAGAGATGAAACATTTACTCACAGTAGACCCTCAGAACAAGTAAATTACAGCCTACCACAACCACTGAGCCCAAGAGAAAAGCCAAAGTACAAGCACCATTGCCTGTGTCCAAAGGCACAGGCAATACCAGTGGCAACTAGAGAATGCATCTCTGGCCACATGCAGCTGAGGCATAGTCCAAGGTATGGCCAGCACTTAGCTGAAAAGCTGGTGCCAGGATAGCCTTGAAGAACCAGAAGGACATGCATTGTGGCACACCAGATGCAAGAATGAATGGGTTAGTTGCCCTGACCCCTGGGTTTCCAATGCTGTCATCTGATGGCAGGGGTGTGAGGTTATCTAACAGTTGGTCCTTAATAACAAGTGTGAAATAGTCAATCAGGGTTACAAATGATGTCCAACCAGTAGGTTGTTTTGGAGTGTGCTACCTTTTTGGTAGTTTCCCTTTAGTTATGTAGCTGATCTAGTATCCCCACTTCCCCATGTCTCCATTGAGTGAGCCAGATTCTGATCCTAGTCTCTGGCATGTGCTCATGATTCGTTAGAGCCAGGTGTAGTACCTGGGTTTGGAAGACTGCAGATGGGTAGCTTGGGAAGATAGAGGAAAGTCCTCCTAGAAAAAACTGCATACAAGAACATGAGAAACATGGTTTACAATTACATTATCATGAAGAAGTATTGAATTCAATATTTTGGGAAGTGACAGACAATCCTAAATATTCTTTAGCATACACTATATATATATATGCATAACCTCTGCAACTTTAGTTTTCTGCTAGACTGAAGCATGAAAAACAGCACAAGGAATAAAAAAGTAGGGGTAATAATGTCTAGAGAGAAATTTAAGTAATGCAGAGATACAGTCACAATAATTTGAAATCTAAGTGATATTCAGGGTAACCTCTAAAATACATTGCCAGAGTGATTGTTTCCAGACCTGTATAGGAGCTTCAAATATTCTGAACTTTCAAGTACAGAATAATTAATTAAATTTTTGTTAGGGATAAGAAGCTTGTATATGTATGTACACTTATATACTCACCTAATTGTGCTTGCGGGGGTTGAGCTTTGGCTCTTTGGTCGTAGGTCGTATATGTATGTGTGTGTGTGTGCATAATTACCTAAATGTAGTTAGAGGATGAGAGCTACGCTCATGGTGTCCCATCTTCCCAGTACTCTTTGCCATATGACACTTTGAAGCTACTGTACTGATGCTTTAGGCATCAACCATCTTCTCATTCAACTTGTTCCCACCATCTACCACTATGTAAAAGCGAACTTTAAAAAAAAAAAAATTACGGTTTCTTTCCGTAGCTTAAATCTAAAACCTCTTTTTCTTGAAGTTCCAGGTTTCAAGAATTCTCCTGTATTAATTTTGTTGATTCCCGCTACTATTTTATACGTATTGATCATATAGCTTTTTTTTTCTTTCTGCCTTCTAATTTTGGAATATTTAATGTCCTTTAACCTCTCTATGTAGCTCTTATTTTTCAGTTTCGGAAGCCATTTAGTTGCGCGTCTGCACCTTTTCTAGTAAAGCGATGTGTTTCTTTAGAAATCGACACCATACAACTGGTGCATATTCAAACTTTGATCTCACAAAGGTCGATAATAATTTCTTTAATATTTTGCAATTTATGTATTAAAAAGTGATTCTGAAGCTGGAAAGCATAGCATACGCTTCTCACACAATGTTCTTTATGTGATCCTCAGCTGATAGTTTTTATCGAGAACCACCTCCACCTCTTTCTTTATCAGAATTCTTTACAGCGTTTCACATAATTTGTAGGTTGGGTGTGGTCTATTTTTTTCCTATTTCACACTCCATAATGTGGCACTTATTCACATTAAGTTCGATCTGCCAAGTGTTTTTCCCACACGTTATTTTGTCTAGGTATTCTAGAAGGGATGATAACTGTTTAAGTTTCTTATCTTCCCTAGTAGCTTGGCATCATCAGCAAACATATTCATATAATTTTGTATTCCTTCTGGTAGATAATTTATATAGACAATAAACATTACTGGTGCTAGAACGTAACCTCATGGTACTTCACTGGTTATACTTCTCCAATCTGATGATACACTGCCTCTGATTAATGCCTACATTTTTCTGTTAGGAAATTTTTCAGCCATGTCAGAAGTATCCCTGTCACTCCTCCAGCATGTTCCAGTTTCCAGAACAACCTCTTATGTGGGACTCTGTCAAAAGTCGTTTTTAGGTCCAGATAAATGCAGTTAACCCAACCATCTCTTTTCTGTAAAAACTTTGTAGCATTATGAAGCTCCTCCAAAGCTTGACCCAGACACATAAGTAACACTACAACCACAGGTACAGCCATCAAAACATTCAGGTGATACTGAAGCTGGTCAAAGAACAGGTCCAATATAGCCCAAATTTGCAAAACAGCAGTCAAGTGCAAAACAGCAGTCGAGTGCAAACTAGCCCAGTGATCCTCTGTGATCTCTGTGTCAGAAAGTATAGGCAACCAAACATGTAGTTGCCACATATCCATATCCCAGCACAGAGATGTTGCAAACAGACAAGCCTCATGCAATACAAAAGCAGCACCAACCAAGAACACCTAAAAGACCATACTGACCTAATGCCACTTAAGTGTTTGGGTATGGGAAAAGTCATGTCAGGCCCCCAGGGAAAACACTGGGATACCTTCAAGCAAATATAAATTAGAGATCTCGAAACTCAACCAAAAAGCCAAGACCAACCAGAAAACAACAGAAGACAGGTCCATCAAGCCCATGTAGTTTTGATCTTGGAACAGGAACAAAAACAAATCTGCAGCCTTCAAGGGCAATGGATGGTTGTTTGGAAATCTCTGTATATAAGATGCCTTCAAGGATTCAGATGGAATCCAGCAGTGACTGCAGAGAGGAGCAATGAAAGAATCAATGTCAAACATGGATGGAGGTACAATAAACCCCTCTGCAAAGGGAATCAAAGACCAATCAGAGTTGAAGGGCACCCACAGATTTTCTTCATGCTACCCCTCGGCCCCTAAAGCCCCAGAAAATCCAGATTTTGGGGAAGAGCCATGTTCTGTGCCAGGTGATGAGAACATAAAAGTTTCTCATCAAAAGGAAAGATCCACATCCTAAGAAACAGAAGGCAGTGGATCCTCAGCAGGAAGCTCCAGTGCAACTGGAAGCTCCAACTGCCTTCACTGCTGACATGGAAGGAACAACACCATTAAAGGCCCAACCTCACCCAAAAAGATGCTAAGCTGGAACCTTAATGAAATTAGGGTTCCAGCTAAAATTGACATTTGAAATGAAAAAAATGAAATTGACATTTCATTACATTTCATGTAACGAAATGTCAATTTCTTGATGAACTCGGTGGGTCCCTGATCCCTCTCCTGTTCCCTTCCTGGTTACCGGGTCGTATTTGTTTGTGTATCTGCTCCAAAACTGACATCTCAGACCCCAATAGGTGGTGAGTCCCTTCCCCTCCCTCAAATGAATGGGAGGACAAACGAGCTCACACAAGTTTTGAGAAATTCGAGCATTTGTTTACATAGTTGAGGAAATTTATTAGGTGGGCTTTGAGGCTTCATGTCTTTTGAACCCAGCAGTGGTATGTTTTGACTTGCTGACTTTCTGGATGCCTTTTCTGGTGAGATGGTAAAATGTCACCATTCCCTGCACTTCTGTGAGAGGAGCCAGGTTCTGGCTCTGGTCCCCAGTAGGCCTAAGAACTCCATGGCTGATGTGCCCTGGTAGAGGGGAACCAATTCAGTATATAGCTTCAGGGAGCCACCAAGGCTCACTCTGTAATTTGCATTTCATTACATTCAATGCTGGTTTTTTAACATCTGCAACTTAAAAAACAACAGGCTATACTGTAGTTTCAAGCTAAGGAAGAAAAGGTGACAAAACATGATAAGAAAATGTGAACAGTTCCGTTTCGTGAACGAAGTTGTAAATGGTTGGAACAAATAAAGTGAGGTGGTAGTGGATGCCAAAATCATCAGTAATTTCAAAGCTTCATATAACTAAGATTATAGGAAAAATATGATGCCATGAGCATAGCTTTCATCCTGTAACTACATGTAGGTAATAACTGATGTACTATTAACCCCTAGCACATACCTGATGGTAATTTGTACCGAATACTTTTTGTGTACATACCTCCAACAACAAGCAGAACATGACAGCAGCTACAGCAGCAAGGTGTGTGAAGGCTGGTTCTAACAGTAATCCCGGAGTAAACACCAAAATAATGATAATGTGATAGATTTTGCGTACAACTGTGGTAGCTAAGATTTTCCTTCTGGAAAAAGAAAATATGCATTAAATGCAATGAAATGTCTTTCTGGTTGAGCCCAGTGGCTTCTTGAAGCTATCTCACCGAGAATGGCTTCCCCACTACTGGGTCACATCAGTCGTAGGAGTTCTGTTTGGATGACCAAAACCAGAACCTGGTCTTCTCACAGAGAGAGAAGGACATGATTATCGTGTCCCCTCCCCCCCCCACCTTACTGGGAAAACATCCAGAAAAATCAGCAAAGTTTTAAAGACAACTGCAAGGTTCCTAGGAAACAAAGCATCATAACAACCAAATGACTCTGCAAACAATTCCTTCAAAACATCTGGTTCACTTGAAACCAGCTCAAACCCCTTAGTGCAAATGGCCACCACTAGGCAGCCCAGAGCACTAAAAGGTCAGTCCAAACCTGATGCACAATGAACCAACGAACCTGGTAGAGAGGGAGTGAGTTAGAAAGTGGTGTTTCAGTACATTCAATGCTTATTTTCCAGAACTAGAACCCCGGCTAGCAGACAAGCAGACTAGCAGGGCGCCCACACCAACATGTCGCTGAGGCAGGCTGCCAGCCAGGAAGACACCGGAACCTTGAAAATGCACCTGATCACTCTAAAAGAAACTGAACTCAAACAGAGGCATAAACCGGGTTTCACAGGAGATACGTGCCAAGGGCCTCCTGAACCTCCGCTGAGGAAAGCCAAGAGCAAGAAAACCTCTGAAAAAAGTTTTTTCAGGAAAGGAATGATAAACATGGCCGCCATATTCAAAGAATGGGTAACAACAAACCATAGCTGTGGGATGGTGCACCACCCTTTGTGGCAACTGAAAACATCACACTCAGAAACCCAAGGTTCGCAATATGTATAGCAAAATTCTCGCCAAAATTAAAAACAACCAAACCCCTGATCTGAGAGGAGGGAAGAGCAGAGGTTCCTAAAAAAACTGGAAAATAACATGCAATTAAATGTACAGATGAACCACATTAAAAAGTCATTACGTATATTAATATCCATTTTTCCCCAGTCTAAAACATCCAAGCTAAAGATGGAGGCTTCCAACGTGAGGGTGCGTAAATCATGCCAGCAAATAATACTAATACAGAAAGGGAAGGAGAGGACGGAAGCCTCCTCCCCTACAGCAACAATCCCTGTCCAGAAGCAGGGGCCCAAGTAGGGCCAAAAGGAGTCCAAGCGGACTCTCCCTGAACCCCGGGAGCCCCCGACACAGGCCCCAGGGCAGAGCTCTCTTCCACGCCCACCACCCTTGAAAAGGCGGCATCCAGGGAAAAGGCTTCCAACAAGGGGAGGCTGCTGGGCTGACCCAGAAGCTTTGGGCGGGGAAATCAGGCTCAACCACCACTGCGCCCAAATCGGAAGGGGCAGCCCCCAAAGCCACCTGTACCTCATCCCGAGCTAAACCCCTCCCCGACTCTGAAACCCTCAGACGTTCAGGGAGCCGGAAGCAGGGAGTAAAAAGGAGTAGGGCGAACCACGCCCACCTGGGAAGGAAGCAGGGGAGCGGAAGGAACCATGGTCAAAGTAACCAACGCCCCCAAATCCGAGTCCCTAAAACCCAAGCAGGGGCAGCTCTGGGGCCTCCAATTGGGCAACCTACTTGGCTCATTGCAGTAAGGAGAATGCAGCATGCAATGCAGTCACTGCCTGATCTTTGAGATCAACAGACAAGGAATGAGTAAAGTGAAGTATGTGTACAAGCGGGTAGCAAGACTCCGGGTCGGTGGTATTCCCCGACCCAACAGGCAGCGTGACAGAGGCAGCACGGATGATCGTTTCCCGAGGCAGGGGCAACAAACAAACTTCGATTTCGCACAAAGGCAAGAGCGGGCTGGAAAGTAGCCATTGTACAACTGAGCTCAAAGAGGTTTTCCAGGGCCCGTAGAGTGAATTAGCCCTCCGGGAAGCCCGACACTGGGGCCAGCTAAGCCGGTAGAACCCTGTCAGGTAGCAGGCAAACTGACCACCAGTAGCAGCTATGAAACCTCGGGGCAACAGAGGAGGACTACCACCACAACCTAGGATTCCCTAACAAGGAGCCAAGCAGACCTCCTCTGTCTAAATAAGGCGAGAATGCCAGAGAATGAAATGAAAATGAAAACAAACCCCCACAAAGACACACAACAAACAAACAGGCAGTCAAAGAGCCATTGCATTGAAGAAAAGCAAGCTGCACTAGCTGCAGTGTGCCCCACCCAGCCAATAACAATCCCCTACCCCGCGACAAGACGGAAAGCCCTTGACCCCCAATGTACCCCAAGAGAGAAGACAACATCAAGCGATGAAGTCCTCAAACAGGAAGTGATTCTTGAATGCCCCAGGAAAGATAACCCTGACATGTAAGGGCAGTACTCACGGATCATCCAGGGAAAGTCACCCTAGGCACATGCTGCTCCCGTACACTAATACAATAGGCCACCACACAGCTGGAACAGCCACACAGGGCAAAATCCAGAACAGGAACGTGAGGCCAGAGGTGACTGATTTGACCACCAGCACATCAGTTCAAGAACTTTAGTGATAGGAGCCAGCTCTGTTGAGCTGGCTTCCCTTCTTCTCCTATGGGGAGGGGGGGGGTAGCATTAACTAGCAAGAGTGTTAGTTGTATGAAGAGTTGCTTGTTGGGTTTCTTTCTAGGGGAGTTATTTTGATCTTTTAGGATGCAGATTGCACAGGTTAACCAGACAGAGGTTTGTTTTGATTTGCCTACCTTTCTGGGTCCTTCCCCAGTCGATGGCAATTATGACACACTTTAAATGTAAAGTGCTCATGGGCCATTGCTCCCTACACCCCTGAGGAGGCCAGGTTCTGGCTCATGGTCCCCGGTAGGCATAAGGACTCCTGTGACTGATGAACCCAAACTAATATTGTATAGCACATATCAGTTCGGACAGCTTCAGGGGGTCGACGGGGCTCCCCACAGAAAATATGCCAAGTCCATGCAAGAATGTCAGCAGATAAACACACACACATATGAAGCAAATACTAAAAAATATGGAACAAACAAGAAAATGGCTCCTGCATGATGCAGTTCAAAGGATGTGAGCCATGAAAGAAGTTGATCTTCTTTGAAGGACTTCAATCCAGTAAACACTTCTACACAAATCAACATCAGTAGCAGGCTGCTGGTGGTGGCCATTTGCATTAAGGGCTTTGAGCTAGTTTCAAGTGAACTAAGTGTTTTGAATGAGTAGTTTCCAGAGTCATTTGGCAGTTTCAATGCTTCATTTTCTATGACCCTCACAGTTTTCTGTATTCAGTTTGTCCTCATAAACAAAGGCCAAAGTCCATTCCATGCATCCAGCAAACCTTCTGTTTATGGATGAAAAATGGTTCACATATGACCCACAACTGACGACGTCCGAACACTTTCGGATAAAGTGCTTCACTGATGACTTTTGTTGAAACACAACACTGTAAATGCTTCACCCACGTACTACAAATACAAATTATCGCCAACACAACCTAAACACCTAACCTAACCTCACCAATGCCTAAATATACACAGTATGCTAATATATAACAATATTAATTTATATTTGAGAAAATTCCAATTTTGAATGAACATCATGGAAAAAGTGATGAATGCGTCTTTGGGGTTGACCGCTGGATGGAATGGACTTGGTCTGAGGACGGGTTGATGTACTGTATTGCTTCGCTGACTTTCTGGATATTGTCTCGATGTGGGTGATAGTAAGAATCCCCAGCTACTTGTGCCTCTGTGATGGGGGCCAAGTTGTGGCTATGATCTCCAGCAGGCCATACAGGAATCCTACAATTGATGTGACCCAATACATTAGTGGGAAGTCATCTCAGTGAGCGTTACTAAAGTCACCGTTAGTGAGCCACCAAGGGCTGCACCATAAAAGAATAAGTTTATGTGTGAACAAATAAAATGATAATGAATCTTCATCATTACTCCATGCTCTATTTTAATGGTGAGGAGGGCATTTACTTGGCTTTCAGTCAATAAACTTTAGAAATATAGTGCACTCTCCTAGATCCGGACCTTCCTATACCAGATCCCTCCTATACTAGATCAGCAACAGATAAAATTCACCTACTGGATTTCCCTCTAAAATTTAGATACAATGAAAAAGGGGTCATCGATTCATCACGTAAAAGTAATTTTTAACAAATTGGATTGGTTTTGTACTGTATTTACTTTTTTCCTAATCTTGCTTTTCATACATGAAAATATTATTAAAAAAACCAGCGTTGAATGTAATGAAATTTTCTGGGTGAGACCCGGAGGCTCCCTGGAGCTATCCAGGCTGATATGGATATACAGTATTAGACTTTGACATCAGTCAATGTGAATGGAGTTCAAGGCCTACAAGAACCATGAACCAGAACCTGGCCCCCTCAGAGAGGCACGAGAAGCAATGGCCTATAGAAATGCACATGTGGTTATGGAGCATTTTATATCGACCGGGTCAGGCACCCAGAAAGGTAAGCATCCCAAAACAAACCCCTATTCTGGTTGAAACTACTACTGAAAGTCAAATGCGTGGACAGAACTCCCCAAATAAAAATGAGCAAATGAGCATGATGTTACCACATGCCATGCTGCCGTCTGCGCAGCTTCCCCCTCCTCGGGAGGGTAAAGGGGGAGCACCAGATCCCTCACGCCAGCTACCCACACCTTCAGTTCTGAAGCTAGATGTCAAAAACGTGAAAAAACTGCCAACCGGAGGGAGGGAGGAAGGGAGGGAAGGAGGGTGGGAGGGAGGGATGCTGGGGAGCTTCAGACTCTCACCCAGAAAATGGCATTTCATTACATTCAATGCTGGTTTTCTGGGGGGACCCCCTTCGGCTCCTAGGAGCTACCAAACCAAAGATAAGGAAAAAAGAGGAATGGACCCGGGAGGCAGTCACTATGCGCCTTAAACGTGAAACAGGTCAACTGGCAACCCCGAATGACCCTGCTGACGACCTGGGAGACCCTAACTCCAGAATAGGGAAGAAGGGAACCTGGGCAACCCAAAGCGT